CTGTTGGATCCACTGTAAAATTTATTTCTTCATATTAGGCCAATAGAAGTGTTGTTTGACCCTCTCATAAGTAGCTCAAACTCCAGAGTGACCCCCTACTGCTGAATCGTGGCACTGGTAAAGCAGTTGGTTACGAAGTTCCTTTTTATCGCTTATGACCAACTTCCCTTTGTATCTTAATATCCCCTATTGTAGGGAAAAGGGTGATCTACTGTTAGGAGAAACCATTAATTCTGATAGCAGTTGTTGGGTGAAGGGATCCTTGAAGTTATTGTCACTTATTTCCACCATCCAAGCAGGCATGAATGTTGAGAGGGTGTATAAGATTTCCGCTTCAGAGTCAGGGGTGTCCCTCCTTGAAAGAGCATATGCTACCTTATTGGATGACCCTTGTTTGTATTGGATTGTGTAATTCAAGCTTAGTGGCTTTCAGATACCCTTTTGTTGTAACATGGAGAAACTCTTTAATCTAACAAGTACTTTAAACTACATTGATTTGTTCTGATGACAAATGAGGTTCCTTCTAAATAGTGCCGTCATTGTCCTACGGCACAGAAAACAACCATTAATTCTTTCTCATAGACTGACTTTTTCTGATTCCTAGAACTGAGGACCTTACTTATGAAGGCTATAGGTTGGTTTTCTTGCATCTGTCTCAATAGTAAAGGGATCTCTGAATAGGGGCAGTCGTAGGACCGGACGGGAAGTCATAGCTATCTTAACAACTAAAAAGCTTGCTCTACTTTTGGATTTCATTCGAAGGCAACCTTCTTCAACAATTTGGTGAGAGGTTGGGCTATGATTCCATAATTTTGTATAAACTTGCGGTAGTATCCTGTTAAGTCCAGAAAACCTCTAAGAGCCTTAATCATCCGATGAATGGGCCAATTGACTATAGCTCCAATCTTTCGTGGGATCTATTTCTACCCTTCGGCCTAAGATGATATGCCCTAGATACTCCACCCCTATCTGAAAAAAACAACACTTGGATTGCTTTGCATATAACCTGTTATCTCAAAGTGTCTTTAGAACTTTGTTCAAATGGATAAGGTTCTCTTACTCAGTGGTACTATAAACTAAGATGTCATCAAATAAGACCGATACAAACCTTCAGAAAAAAGCCTTGAATATGTGATTCATGAGAGCCTGGAAAGTAGCGGGGGCATTGGTTAAGCTGAAAGGCATCACCCTGACTTTATAATGATTCTGGTGTGTTCTGAAAGCTGTCTTGTGGATGTCTTCCTCCTTGACATTGATTTGATGATATCCTGCCCTAAGATTAATTTTAGAAAAAATATATGCTCTATATAGTTCATCAATAAAATCATCAATGATGAGTATGAGAAACTTATCTTTTATGGTCAGAGAGTTTAATTCTCTATAGTCAACGCAAAACCTCCGCGTACCATCTTTCTTTTTTACTAGCAGTACCAGTGAAGAGAATGGGTTATGGTTGGGGCGTATTAATGAGTCCGTCAGCATTTGTTGTATATGCTTTTCTATTTCGTTCTTCTAGGTGAATGAATACCTGTAGAGTCGAATATTCACGGCAGCATCATGTTTGGGCAAGGCGAGAC